AATTTATTTAAAAAATAACAGAATAAGTGACTGGGTTAACCCTTTATAGGGAACTCAGTGAAATACCTTTGAAAATCAAAAATTTTCAGCCAATAGTGTTAATGGAATCCAAGATCAGACCTTATTATCTTTTTACATTAAAAAACATGGATATTTTGATGGCAAAAATGAATGTCAATGTAATAACAGGAAACGCCAACCTACCCTAATATATAAAGAAAATAACAAAAGTTCTTCTATAAGAAATTCATCAAAAACAACTAAGAGTGAAAGGAATACATTGATGCGGATACTGGCACTTGAATTTTTTAGTTTATATACCTAAATATAATTGTTAACTTGGCTTATTAACTTTTTAACTCTACTTTTTAACTTTTCAATTAGTTTTTTTTATCTTTTTTATCTTGAATTGTTAACTTTTGCTTTTAAACTTAATTTCCAGTTGGTAATATATCATTCAAGGGCTCATCTAATTGGCCAAATGCCAAAATAAAATGTACAGCTAGGTAGCAGCATCTTTGCTAAGTGGTTGGATATAGATCTAGTGCTTCTAGACCTCGCTTAGGGATGGGGGAACTCCTTTAGTAAGGCAAGTAATCAAAAATAGTAACTTGCCCTATGAAGTGTTAAGAAAATAAACAAATGGGATACTGTACAGTGTTTTTAGAATATATACACTGTGCATCTGGATAATAAATAGTATACAGCTGTGGACATTTTTACGGTAATGGATATGTGGAGAAAAATAGCAACACCAGAGATGTGCAAAAATGACAGCATGACCTATTAGAGAGGAAGCAAGCATATCTTTTTAAATCTGAGAAAACTGTGCTAGCTGCTAAAGCACAATAGTGGCAGCATCATCCCGGGGAGCTGTTTTGCTTCCAGTGGTACTGGTGATTTAAATTAAGTTATATGGAATAATAGAAAATAAAAATAAAAAATTCCCCAGATTTAACTCCAAAGAAGAGCTACCAGCTTGAAACTAAGACATACTTGGTTGATCCAAAAAAATGAACCTAACACACCTTAGACTGAAATGAATAAGGATTCTGAAATGGCACAGCGTCGGATTCTATTTAGAATGTATGAACTATGTATAAGAAGTATAAACGCCCATCGTTTCTTCTAAGACGTTCTGCCTCTGATTTTGTTTTTGTCATGCTTTAACAAGGCGTGCAGGGCAGCGCCGGTGCAGTGCAGAGGATGGTGAAGTTTAAGAGCCCACCAGGACAAAAAGGATGCAGAGGAGATGGAGATCAGGAGGAAAACGGAGTCTTTGATCAGCAGGATTACATCCAGTCTTTAGGAACGGATAATGCTGAAGGTAATCATTGCAGGAACTTGACATTTTTTCCCTTTAAAATGTTTCTTATTTTTTAGTTTGTGGGTCTTTCCTTAGCTGGTAGCCATAATCATCAAAATAAACTAAGAAATAGATAACTGTTATGCATTTATATAATCTTGAATGTATTTGATGGTGAAAAGTTTAAAATACTGGATTAGATTTGTTTGATTAAAGTTTTTAGTACTTTCTGGATTATCCTTAATGATCAGTAGAAGAGAAAAGATGCTGCACTGCAGTTATTTTGTTGGCTTTGCAGACGATGAGGATGGTTTGTCCAGACTGGCGGGTTCCTCCATTTTCACCTTCCAGAAGGTCAAGCGTGGCAACAGCATGGCCAACACAGGTGAGAGCTGCCGGTGTTTCTACAGCCGCTATGTTCTTCAGCGGGATTAATTTCCCGCTGGACGCTTTGTGCTTATTTGTCCGGTTTGTTGACGCAGCGAGCGAGCTTGCTCGGACCCCTGGGAAAACTGTAAGCTTCCAAGCGGCCGAACCCTGCACCCCCAAACGAACAGGCCGGCGTGAGTTTGAGACGCTTGAATGTTCATAATAAGTCTTTTTATTGGATGTTTTTATTTTAAGACATTTGTTTTCTTTCTCTTTAGAGAAGAAAACTGAAAGCAGGACCCCACAGAAGGTAGGACACCCAAAAGCAACAAAAGTAAATTTTTAATTGCTCTGAGTTTTGTTTGCGCTCATAATCAGCTCTGCATTATGGTTCTGAAAGCAGAGCAAGAAGGTCCAGTTTGTCTCCACAACACCGCATAGGCTCAGGAAGAGGCTAACAGGTAAGTGTAACATGAAGAACACAGACATTCTTTAGGATTGGCCTCTATTTTAGCAGCCCTTACAAAACCTCACTAGGTGACCTATGATTGAAATAGTTTTCAACAAAACAAATATTTTCTCTTAACTTCTTAATTATTCACCACTTTCTGCTTTATAGCATTAAATCCCAATAAAACACACTGACTATTCTGCCTGTAAATGAGGAAAATTAAAAGTATATGAATCGTTGATGAAGCACTGTATGAAAGGTTCTGTATGTTTCCAGCGCCAAGCCTTCGGTCGGACAGCGACAGTGAGCTCTCACCCTCTGACTCTGAGGAAGAGGAGGAGGAAGAGGATGGGCTAAAGGAAAAGCAGAAGGTGAATAAAGAGGACAAGGAGAACCAGAAAACCCCCAGCAAAGGTTTATCCGCAGCCCTCTACAAAACCCCAGCAAAGAAGAGCAAGAACGCTCCAGAACCGGCTAACCAGCCCACCATGATCGAGGAATATTTCGAGGCTCACGGCAGCTCCAAAGTGCTGACGTCTGACCGGACCCTGGAGCGGCTGCACACCCCGAAACTAGACAGGGTTCGTTGATAACTGTCAGTCTTTATAGAAACTTGGCAAATGTGTCTGAATTAGGCTAAAATATAAGGCTAAACATCTGTTGTTTTCGACAGGAGACGTTGGCCCGTCTTTTAGAAGGGAAGCCATCTTGTTACTCAAAGGAGATCCAGGAGCTGCACAACAAACACAGGAAGCACTTTACCAAATGGATGTTACAGTTACAGTAAGTACGGCTCTGGTTCATCAAAAGTTTCTCCAGGGTTAAGCATCAGCTTAGAAACATGCAGCTTAAACATTTTTCATGTTTTGCTAAATTAAAACCATCAAATTCAGTTATTAATTATATACATTTATGAGTAAGATTATACAAGTATAAATAATAATTAAATAGAGTCCACTTGTGTTTTTGCTTTCATTTTCATTTCATTTCATTTATTGTTTATTTGAAAGGGGACAGTGTACATTAATCAACATTAAAACAATGTAAATATACCCGAGTTAGCTAAGGAGTGCTAATTTTCATCGGTAGTCCCCCAGCCAGATATTAAAAAGGCAACCTTAAAAATAAACACAAGTATAAAATCACAAGATTAAATTACAATACCAATTACATAAAAAAACATTATGGTTAAGAAATACAATTCATGTAAAATGATTAAAAATTAATTGTAAAATTGTTTAAATACACACAGAAAAC